ATATATTTGTCTCCGGAGCATTGCTACATGTTATGGACAATACTTACCCTGTTTCCTGCCGTTAGTTTGTGTGTTTACTGTCCTGGTCTCCTTAGTCATCACTGCCCTTCCCTGGTTGTAAGTATTATGGACCCTGTTATGTTGTCACTTTGTTGTTGTTTTTAATCCATTAAACCTCCTTTTTTGTACTAGCACCTGGGTCAGCCATCTTGAGTCCAACCCCAGTTCTCCCTCACCCTCCTGGTGAGGGGGATGAACCATAACATCTAGTGATTTGGATTCTGTGCAAAATGCAGGTGAGGAACACTTTTGTCGTACTGCTTTTGTCAGACAAACAAAAGAATCTGTAAGTTGTAGTAAGCCTCTTTATGGGGATTTCTTTATTTCCAACAGTCCCACTATAATGACATGAGAATTTTCCACAAATGTTTTGTTTTTCACAACACCCAATAATTAAAAAAATGTATATGAAAACAGCAGTTTAACAATTTAACAGTCTTTCATTGTCTGGAATCCAACCATGCACTGAAGACTTAGCAGCAGATTTGCTCTCTGTCAGTCCCTACTGTGGACCTTCAGGAAGACAACATGCCCAACAATGGTCAAATGCATCCTTGAAACTGACTTGCAATAACAGAAAACACAGGAAACATGATTGCATTTTCATGAATATTCGGTGCTTGTTGCTCTTTACGATAGAGTATATTAAAATATATACAGTAAATTATAGAATCGGTGCTCTTTACAAATGCCATAGGTGCTTTATGAAAAGCAGTGGACACAATGCCACATGTGCTCAATGATTGTAGATATGATAGTATCTTGTGAAAACGGCACGCTCCAAAGGGCAGCTTGTTAAAATAATACACACAATAATATACAACAATCTGTGCATCATTAATTATTATATTTGACATAAGTAATGTAAATAACCCAGAGTGCATTTGCTGGGGCATGGTTTGTTTCCTGGTGTGGATGCTTTTGTGTTGTAGTAAAGCGGCTGACTTCCGGTTTTGAGCCATGCGCTTTTGTTTTGGGTGCGTGCTTCCTGTGTGGTGTTTGGGGTGATATACAGCGCTTTGCGAAAGTGCTCATACCCCTTGAACCTTTCCACATTTTGTCACATTGCAACCACAAACTTGACTATTTTATTGGGATTTTATGTGATAGACCAACACAACACAAAGTATCACATAATTGTGAAGTGGAAGGAAAATACATGGTCAAGATTTTTTTACAAATAAAAATATTAAAAGTGTGGCGTACATATGTGTTCAGCCCCCTTGAGTCAATACTTTGTCAAAGCACTTTTCGCTGCAATTACAGCTGCAAGTCTTTTTGGGTATGTCTCTACCAGCTTTGCACATCTAGAGACTGCAATTTTTGCCCATTCTT